GAGAGCTGGGTCTGCGCGGGCGGTAGGCAACGGCTGAGGCGGCAGCGGCGACGTGGGCCGGGCTCGAGCGGGGCTGCGGTGTCTCCGATTCCCCGGAGCGGGAGCCCACGCGGGCGGGCGCCTGAAACAAAGGGAAGCGGGAGTCAAGAGAGCCGCGGGGTGGGCGGTCAGTCGGTCAGCGCGGAGCCAGCCAGCTGGTCCCCGCACGAGCTCCGAGCCCGGCCGGCCGGCGCGTCTTCGGGGCGGGAAGATGCCGCGCGTCGTGCCTGATCAGAGAAGCAAGTTCGAGAACGAAGAGTTTTTCAGGAAGCTGAGCCGCGAGTGTGAGGTGAGGCGGGCGGGCAGCGCGGAGGCCGCAGCGCGCCCCGAGTGGGCCCCGGGCGGAGAAAAGTTTGAGCGGCGCGGCCCGCGGGCAGCCGGAACCGGGGCGTGTGCGGAGGGGCAATCACGCCGGGCGGCCATCCGCCGACTCTGCTTGCCCTTATCTGCACCGCGCGGGGCGGGCGGGCGCGCGGGCGGCGCCGCCGCGGCGGATTTGGCTCCTGATTTCGGGGCGTCTCTGCCTTGCAGATTAAGTACACGGGCTTCAGGGACCGGCCCCACGAGGAGCGCCAGGCGCGCTTCCAGAATGCCTGCCGCGACGGCCGCTCGGAAATCGTAAGTCGGCGGGACCCGGGGCGCGCGGGGCACTTGTTGCGCGGGGGGCCGGGCCGCGGCGGCCCAGGCCGATCTGCCGGCGCCTCCGCGGCTCCCGGAACTGAGCGGGCGCCGGCTCACTTCCTACTCGGGATTCAAAATGCGAAACCAGACCGAGGCGGCCCGCGCCTCCGGGGGAGACTCCTCCGGGGGACACCTCTCGCGGGGGGCCTCCGTGGGCGGGTCAGCGATTCCCCGAGGACCGTGCAGATCGGAACCGAATGGGCAAGGAAGGGGTCCCTGTATCGCCTGGGACCCTGACCAAGGGTACGGGGAGGAAAAAACACCCCTTAGGAAACAGAGCTGGGCTTCATTGCAGGTTCTGGCTGCTGGAGTGTAGTTTGTTTCTAAGAAGTTGGATCTCTCGGTGCATCTGCATATGATGGTGTCTCTTCTCCCCGTGTAGTGAAAAGAAATCTTTCTTTCGTTTATCTGTTGTGCTAATACAGGAGAAAGGAAAAGGGGAGGGGGGGAAGCCAAAAGCAACCTTACAGAACATGCAATCATTGTTTATTAGTATGTTAAGTCTCAAGGGGATGAGAAAGCAGCCCTGGCCATCGCTTCAAACCTGACATATATTTAGTGCTGCGTTTCATTGTTATGCATGTGCAAACCCCACAAGTTGATTTCGGGGTTTTTTTTTTTAGAGCATAGATTGGGTCCCTCTTTCTCACCAAATGTGCTGGACGTGGGAAAGGAATGCGCAAGTCTTGATTTCCTCCTCTTGTGATTGTGCTATGGAAGGGCCTAATAACGAGGAGGGGATGATGAAGCCAAAGAGTGGGTAGGAAGAAACTAAAGAAAAGAGATTGGTTTTAAAGAAAAAGAAAAAAAAAGGAAAACGTTGCGCTGTGCAGTGGATTCTTACAGTCCCTGTGGCTTGAGCCCTGGCATTTGTAAGGATTTGAAGCTGCAGGGCCGTCTGGGACAGGTTAAGAGTAGGAAGACAAGAAAAATTCCTCGGCCCACCTCTTTTGTAGAAAGCCACCGTTTTAAAAAACTTGTTACAGGATTCACATACTATAAAATGTACCCCTTTAAAGTGTACACTTCAGTGGAACAGAGTTGAGCAACCATCATCACTCTTACAGATCTCAACACCCAAATTTCTTTTTAAAATGTATTTAAAATGAAGGCTTTTAGAACTGCATTGTAGATTCTTAGAAGTTCTGCAACACTTTGGCATCGAAGCCTGTTAAGAAAGAAATATCCAGCTCTTAGCCACGTCCAAATTTTCATGAATTTTTCTAAGATCTGATTTGAATATACAAGGCAAATAATTTTCGGTTCTGATACTGAATTGTGGAAGAATGAGTCCTTAATTGGCCCAATTACTATATCTTCCTTTGCTGGGATTTCCTTTTGCCAAAGTTAAATGGTGTTCTTGACCAGTGGATTTTCTGGAGATGATGAAAGGTGAGATACAAAGTATTCTTGATGATTTTTAAGACAGATTTCTCGGAAACCTATTAAAACATTGCTATTGAGGTGTTTTCTTTCATATTTTCTGCATATAGTTGTGAATTGCAGGCATAATTTGACAAACTATTTGACATACTTATGTAGTACAGTGTAATACTATAGCAATGTTAGAGGTTTATTAAAAAATTTCTTTCCAAGGAAGAATCAAATATTCTCTGCTTTTTTTCTCTTTCTATCCAGAGGAGCTCTTCTAATTCTTTTGATTTGAATAAATTATTTAACAAATGTTGAGGGTTAAAAAGGTAGACTGGATTCTTTTATAAGATTGGCGCTTAAGCCAACACTTATATTTTGTTGAATGATGTAGTTACTTGCATCTGAAGAGGAATTTCATGTTTCCCTCTCTTTCTAGTTTCCTCCTTAATTCAGTTTTACCCACATTTAAATAACAAGAGTATTAGTTCTTAAAGGGTAGAGACCACAGATTCCGTGTTTGTGTTGTGTATATCCTCTCATGTAGATACTTTGCATAATGCCTTTTGCAGGTAGGTACTTGAGTATTTGAATAATTTATTGATGGTTTAATGTCTGAAATTTATGACTTTTGAACAGGCTATGGCTTCTTTTTATTTGGTTGTGGAAAAGGTATCAGTTTGCCCCTATTCTTGGAGCAATCATATGTGATAAGAATATGCGTAGTCCCAAAAACTATTTCTAACCCATCTCCAGTCCTAATTGAGTCCCTCCTCCTTTTAGTAAAAGTTCTTATTTTGAACTTTCTCTTTTATAGAGGAATATAAAAGAATTTAAGGGCCACGATGTTCATCTCTCTTTAGCTGTAATAAAGCCTATTCAGGCTCTCACAGTCTGGTATAAAAATGATTGTAGGTGAGTGATGAAATCTATTTTATTTCTTTAATAGCAGGAGTGTTGGAAATATCAACACTTAATGATGGGTGGAAGAAAAAGATGCACATGAAAAGTTACAATTGAGCTACTGTGCGATCAGTAGAAACAAGTACATGTTTTAGTATTGTTCTTTGCTGTAGAGTCAGAACCGACTCATCCTACCTTCTTGTAGATTTTTAAGAGTCTCTAAATTGCACAGGAGATAACCCATATTTTCCCCATGGAGCAACTGATTGACTCAAACTGCTTGCCTTTGAAAATCACAGTAGCACAGACTCTGTCACTCACTGGGCAGCCAAAGCTCCCTGTGTTTTACTTGTATGTATTTTTTAAATTGAATGGGGAAAGGAATATTGAATTGGTATATAATTTAGGAATTCTGCAAAATACTCTTGAGCCAAAATCTTTTTATGGAAAATGTACATAAAGACATTATATCAGTATAACTTTTTTTTGTATTTTTGAACAGAACTTTCCCAGCTCTTAGTTGTATGTAGATATTCCACTTTAAAAAAAAAAAGAAAGAAAAAGTTTTGTGGTCAAGTAAGTATAGGAACTGCTCTTTTAGAGTGCTGTTTTTACCACTTCTCCTGTCTCAGAGAAATCTTGATGAGATAATGGACGTAAAGTGATGAAGCAGGAAATCTCCTCTGAGGTTGGCACTTGGACGGGAGGTGAGGTAATGAAATGTACACTCTACTTTGTATAGAGCTGTTTTAGGGTCTAATGGTAGGAGATGATGTGTTAGGAGAATGCTGCAGAAACAGAGCTGAGGCATCTGAACTTAGGGCATCCATTCATGGACTGAATCACTTGCTTACTGGCCACTGTTTTATTCCAAGAATTTCATTAAGTTGAAATGGAGAACGTAGTTGTTTTATGAAGCTCAAAAGTTATTTCTCATTTTCTTTAGCAAACAGTTAAATACCATTTCCTCAGTAAGTACTGTTTGAAGCGTTTTACAGATAATATCTTGTGAGAAAACGGAGAACAGAGAAGTTAAATCATTTACCCAAATCGCACAAAGACAGTTGCCTTTAGAGTCTGTATATTTAATTTGAACTAATAATTGTGGTGCTTTTGGTGATGCTTAAAACTACTGTTGATAGAGTTAATTTTCTCTTCACATGAAATATTTACCACAATTAAAGGGTGTGCCCGCTGATGAGGGAAATGCCATCATACAAACCTAGTAGAGATGTAGTACTACAAATGGTCACTATACTACTAATAGAAATAGGAAATACTGTTTTACCTATACTCAAAGGTGTTAACCATTAGAGGAACTAGCAGATAACGGAATCAGGTGATGGCTTTAAACGGCCCAACATGAGAAGCCCTTGCTTGGAAACAAATTGTTTCAGAACTTAAAAACTCTCTTGTTTTAACACAGAAGAGTTTGCAGTTAGATGATTAAAAATGTATTTGCAAAATACATTTTGGTCTTATTTTTAAATTTCTCTCATGAAAAGAGGTCGTTCTTTTTCTAGTTTTAACATGGGAGAAGTCTTTTACAGAGTTAGATTGCTCAAGGGCTACATAGCATGACACTTAATTGAAATGGCTCTAGATTGTCCTCTTGCGCTATACCATTCAAATCTTATAAATATTAGATACGCTTTGCTTTTGTTAAAAACAGGCTCAGTTCTCTTAAAGATATATTTTAGTCATTCCTTGTTTTGTTTTTTTTTTTTTCATAATCCAAGATTTTGAATGACAAGTGTTGTACAGAAGAGATAATCCCACGTGCGTTTTTTGGTTTGTTTTTTTTAACATGGCATTGAGAGCATAGGGTTTCTTTTGAGTGGAAGAAGTCAAGAACTAAATTGTCTAGTTTATACAACTTCACATTATGATATGCTTTGAAATTACCAATCTCTAGATGTTTGGAAATTTTCATATTTTAAAATATGAGTTTTAAATGCAGGAATTGTGGCTTCTGGTGAGACTAGCAATGTGCGATTCTAAAGTCAGCAAAAATGACCTGAAAGAAAGTATTGATTCCATGTCTGATTTTATATTTGAGCAGCCAATGGCGAATGTCCTTAAAATGGAATCAGATGTTTGTAACTTAATACTAAAGAAAAATGATGAGTGCATGTTTTTTACTTTTAAGTATTCTCTGTGCTGCCTGGCTTTAGACATAAACTGATGTAAAAATAAATGACTGCTTGCATAATTTATGTAATGTCCTGATCCTGATCCTGTTTGTATTGATTTTTCTAAAAGGCTTTTGTGGCCACAGGAACCAATCTGTCTCTCCAGTTTTTTCCGGCCAGCTGGCAGGGGGAACAACGACAGACACCTAGCCGGGAATATGTCGACTTGGAAAGAGAAGCAGGCAAGGTAGGAAAAATTTTTTTGTGATTTGAAATACCATGGCTTGATTTGTTAAAGATGATTGCAGAATGTACATTTTGATAAAATGAGTACAATCTCATTACCCAGACATCTGATGAAATTGGTTCGTCCCATAATATCAAGAATCTTTAAAAATCAATGTCTGACATTTACATATGCATGCATGTTTAACTTCATTATTAATTTTCTGTATAAAACATTCATCGTGAAATAGTCTAGCCTTTAAATTGATTCATTTGCTTATTCTACATGTAATATTTACTTTCTCTGCAAGTATTGGCATGTTTTTTGAGTTTACTGAAATGTGTATGACTCTAGTGCTGTAAAAAGAATTAAGTAGAGAATGACTGTGTGGGCTTAAAACTTAGTAATACTTAGAAAGTGTTCATGGTACTTTCGATTCTGTTAATATAACAAATTTAATTTTGAGAAAAATAATGTCAACACTTCGACGTGGAAATAATTCTTTTGTTTTGAGGAGAAGTTTCTGAGAAAACCAATAGATGCTTTATGATTTTTGTTAGAAATTCAGCTTGAAAATACAAAAAAATAATAAGAGGAAAAGTAGTTAAGCTGAACCCTATTACAATTTCAGATACATTATGTGAAGTATTAGTGAATAATTATCTTGGTTTGGCTGATTTTTTTTAAAAAAAATTTTTATTTATTTTTTTTTGTGTGTGCGTATACTGTCAAATCAGATCTGACTGGTACAGGAGGAGCTTTGCCTGTCCTTCTAGAGCATTTGGTGGATTCGAACTGCTCACCTCCGGGATTGCAATGCGGCTTCTTGCCACTGGGCCACCAGAGCTCGCCAGATTGACTGATCTTTAAAAAAAAATTTTTTTTTTTGTACTCGTTGAGAATATATGTGGCAGCAGATAACAAGTTCAGCTGTTTCCACATGTTCAGTTCTAATGACAGTGATTACATTATGTTTTAGACACTTCCATCCTCCTTTTCTGAGTTGTTTCTCCCTCATTAACAAAAACTCTGGTTCCAAAGTTTCCTGTCAGAATAATCCTGTGACTTGCTGTTGTCAGTTTGATCTCACACAGGTAGATCTTAAAAGAGCACAATGCTCAAGGCAGACTTTTTATTAGTTAGCAATTGTTTGGTTTAAGACTTTAGGTGTATGTCAGTTATAAGCTTCTCCTAAGGCAGTGATTTCAGGGGTTCATCCTACTTCCATGACTCTGGAAGATTGCTTGTTGTTGTTTGGTACCATGAGTCAAGTACGACTCATTAGCAACCCTGTAAACAACAGATCTAAACCCTGGCCTCCTGTGTCATCCTCATCATCTCTGACACAACTAGAGCCCATTACTGCAGTTACTGTGTCGATCCATGTGGTAGAAGAAGATCACCATCTGGTGATCAGAAGACTAATTTTTTATTATGGGAGTTAACTGTAAAAAAAAGTTTGACTTCAAACTTATTTCAGAAAGTTTGATTTCATGCTCAGTTCAGCTTGGTTAATTGTTTTTCTGTGGGTAGTTATACATAGCATAGACTATCAGTCAGGAAATAAAAAAGCGTATCGCGATGGGAAAGTCTGCTGTTAGGGACCTCTCAAAGGTACTCAGGAGCAACAGTGTCTCTCTGGAGACCAAGGTGCGCCTGATACAGGTCATGGTATTTGCAATCGCTTGTTATGCATCAGAGAGTTGGACAATGACTAGGGAGGACAGAAGGAGAGTGGATGCTTTTGAGCTGTGGTGCTGGAGAAGGGTACTGAATGTACCCTGGACTGCCAGGAAAACAAACAGATTCATCTTGGAGAGGATTAAACGAAGCTACTCCTTGGAGGCAAGGATTCTGGGGCTTCATCTGACATACTTTGGACATGTTGCCAGGAGGGACGGGTCCTTGGAGAGGGACATCGTGCTTGGGAGGGTGGAGGGACAGCGCAGGAGGGGAAGACCCTCTATGAGATGGATTGATTTGGTGACTGGGGTAATCGGGTTGGGTGTGTCAGAGGCAGTGCGGTTGGCGCAGAATAGAGCAGGGTTTAGGGCTGTTGTGCATAGGGTCGCTATGAGTCGGAAACGACTCGACGGCACATAACAACAACATCACTTTAATTGCAGAAGTGAAGAGTTGTTTATTTTTAGGAAATTATATTTTTAAGTGAGGGTACATCAGGAAAAAGGTGTTTTGTTTCTGTTTTTGTTTTTTTTTTTTATTTTTTTGTGTGCGTGTACTGTCAAATCAGATCTGACTGGTACAGGAGGAGATTGTCCCTCCTTCCCCGGCAGAGCATCTGGTGGGTTCAAACCATGCACCTCTGGAATTGTAGTTGCAGTTCCTTGCCACTAGGCCACCAGAGCTCCCCTAGGAAAAAGGTTTTTTAAATAAAATATTTTCATTGTTATTTTTAAAGGAAAAAAGATTTTTAATCTTGTCTTTATACAATGAAGAGTTTTATTTTCCCTTATTTTTATGAAATTAGCTTTCATCTTTTTTTGGCTAACAGGTCATACAGCTGAAGAGCTTGATTACAGAATTTCTAAAATTAGTAATAGTACATATGTAATTTGCTTTCCTGCATATTAGCTTGTTTTCTTGGAAAATTAAAGGCAGGTATTCCAGATTTTACAATCTGATAGTTGTACAGATTAAGGAGAGTTTTCTGGATATAATGCAAATACTTAAACCCTGGGCTAGTAACCCAGAAGTTGATAGTTCAAGTCATCCTACAGGTTTCCTTAGAAAGGCCTAGCAACCCAGCAGAAATAGCAAAGTTCAACAGGGCAGCCAACAACAAATTCTGATGAGGTTGTGGAGAGATTGGAACACTTACTGCTGGTGGGAATGTAAAATGGTGCAACCACTATGGAAGGCAGTCTGGCAGTTTCTTAAGAAGTTGTAAATAGAAATACCATTTGACCTAGCAATTCCACTATTGTGAATATACCCTAAAGAAATCAGAGCCACAACTCAAACAAATGTATGCACACTTATAAGATGGAAGCAGCCCAAGTGCCCATTCAACAAATAAATGGATAGAAAAACTATAGTACATCCGCACAATAGAAGATTACACAGCAATCCTTACCTGGCAGAGGAAACACCATGATCAGGCAGGTGGTTTTCCCAGGATGAGGCTGACCCCTGCGATTTCCCCAAATGCAGGAAACTCGACTGCATAATTTGTGGTAGTGGGGGACTGCGTGCGCTCTATTCCCTGATTTTGTAGTTAGAAATACAGACTTAAAAGTTAAAAAAAAAGATTACAGAGCAGTGAAAAACAATTCATAAAACTTTAGGCGAGCTCTAGTGGCCTACTGGCAGGAAACTGCACTGCAATCCCAGAGGTGCGTGGTTCAAATCCACCAGATGCTCTGCTGAAGAAGGAGGAACAATTGCCTCCTGTACCAGTCAGATCCAATTTGACGGTACATGCATAAAATTTTTTTTAAAAAAAAATAATAAAAATTTTAAAAAACCAACCCAAAACTTCAGGCAACATGGGTGAGCCTGGAAGACGTTATGCTGGATGAACTATCTCAGTCACAAAAGGACAAATACTGTGTAACACCACTGTTGTGAAATAGAACTGACCTGGGGGGAGGGTTGGGGAAAACAGGAAGAGAGTACATAGATAATGAACACAGCATTGGAAAATATGAAGGAAATATCTGAAATTAATATGTGATTGTGCATTGTACATATGACAATAATCTGGAATAAGAGGTGCATTGCAAAGTGGATTGGGTGAAGAATAAGGGAAAGGGGGAAATTGTGCAACAGTGAATGAATGAAAATCCAACCTTTCTGTAAACCTTCTTTAAAATCACAATTTAAAAAATATTTTTTTAAAAGTACACTTGGCAAAGCACCAAGAAATTTATATCTTATTAATGCTTGTTTTAATACATCCACTTCAACATAGTTAAGTTCCAAAGACCAGTTCATTTTGTAAAATTGGTGTTAAGTGAAGACAAAGACTTGGACAACACAACTCCTTTGCTCTGGACTTGAGGGCCCTGCCCAGCAGCTGGTCTAGAGGCACAGCTGGTAGCTCTAGGGATCAGGGTATTCAGGGGGAATTGCTGCCTGTGCTCTGAGCATATGCTCCTCCTGCAGCCCTCAGTGTTTGCTGCCACCTCGCAGGCGAGGGAGGACCTCATAGAAACGAGAGACGCTTCTTAGAGGGCTTGGAATCTGAAGCCTGGGCTTTGGAGACTTAACAGCTGCTTGAAAGAGGAACTGGACAGCCCAGGCCACAGTGATCTGCTTCTGCCGTCATACCTCCAGATTACCGTCAGTTCCGTTGTAGATCTTGCTCCCTCCAAGCACTTCATTAAGAGGGGAATGGCAGTAACAACCTCCTCCATCTCTTCCTGGGCCCCTCTGACATTCTCCTGCCATTCTTAGAAGGGTTCCCTCAAAATCCACCTCATTTACCTCCAGGCTGGAGAACTGCAACAGTGACTTTAGTGGCAGGGACAGGACCAGTAGGAGACCCTCTGGAGAACATTGCTAAGCTAGAGCTTGATAGACACGGATGACTCTTTAGATTGGGAGCTGGACACTGGGGGGAATCCCAAGTTAATGCCAAAATAGTTGGATAGATTTTTTTACTTTTGTTATTTCAAAATATGAGATAGTGAGTACCACAATGGTTTATTCATCTTGGGATACTTAGATTATTTCTGATTTGGGGTTATTTGTTAACCTTCTGTTCATGTATATTGTACACATTTTTCATATCTCTTGGGTAAATTCCTAGGTAAAAGACTGCTGGACTATACAGTAAGTATAGGCTAAACTTTATAAGAAACTGCAAAAATACTCTTGCTGCCAATAACGAAGGTCCCATTTGTTTAACTTGCTCACCAACACTTGATATTCTTGTCTTTAATTTTGACCATGAAGGTAAGTGTGTAATGGAGTCGCTTTGTGGTTTTAAGTAAAGATGCTGAGTATTTTTTTATGTCCTTATTTGCTGTTTATATGGCTTTTCTGGACATTTTCTTAGT